CCCAAGTAGCGCCGCCTATGTTTTTCAGAGTTTAACTTTAGATTCGTTCAATTACGATTAAGTGAGTTCATTGGGTTCATGAATACTGTCAAAAAGTGATTTATTAAGACCTATGCTTTTTCTCTCCAAGTGCCTCCACAATGCAGGAATGCCGTTGGGGAGACCTAAAATGCTCTCGGGAGAGCATGTCCCTGATCCCTCTCAGTATTAGGTTGGCTCCCCAAAATAAAATCCTGTCGGGGCCACTGTTATCCCCTTCATTTCTTTATAAGTGTTGTGTATTTCTGCCTTTGGCCGCCAAGTTTCCTGCGGATGGGGGCTACATGGTGGCATAACAGGTCAGTACACATTGGAAAACAGTCCTGCATATTAACCCACCAGTGCCCAACACTTTCCGTTGACGAGTAAAATCACCGGCGTTAGACACTAATGCCGCGTTTACACTATGACGTTATGGCAAATTTATCGTATAGTATTGATTTGCATCCGGAATATGCCAAGCGCAGTGGTGGTCGTAGTGAACTGCTGCGTTATAGTGTAAACACAATACTAAGGAACGTAGTGAATTTTTAACGGAAACCGTAGCGTTATAGTGTAAACGCAGCCTGGCCAGCTAAAATAACAAACACTGTATAGCGCACACTGTTATACATTCTAGCTTAATGGGATAACAAGGAAAGTAGTGTATCATCAACATTTTATTGAGCAGCATTATAGAGTGTATTACGTTGAAATGTTTATTTTCTTTAGGTTGATTACAGGTATCTTGTAAAGGTCTTTTCTGACTTGCAGTTTATTATAACATAAAATTCATTTATTGTAGGCAGTGATCCTGCAACTTGCAATCTAAAAAAGTACTTTCACTCTGGCATTTTGAAAGGAAGGATTGCCTTCATGAAACAACTACAGAAATGGTTGGGAGAGAAATGTAAATGGAATCTTTGTTACAGAGCTTCCAGAGATGGTTGGAGCGCCCAAGCTTTTCACAAACATTGTGACAATAAAGGACCGACAGTGGTTTTGGTGAAAGCCAATGATTGTATATTTGGAGGATACACTGACCAACACTGGGAATCTCCAAGTATGTAAGAAAACATTATTAATATTTGTATCATTTACTGTATGAGAGCTATATATTTCTCCAGCAAACTGCATTTCAACCTCGTTCCCAGGCTCTTCCCTCTTGTGGAGGAAAGACCCTGGTCGTAGCTGGTCACGTGTCACGCAGATTTTGCGTGATAAATTGATATTGATCTCAGGGAGGGGTGGTAGAGGAGTCTGTTTGTTGCGTTTGGAAAATTGCATCTTTATGTGTTATAGTTTCGGGTGATAAAATGTATCTTCCAACAAGAAATCATGAAAGAAACTGTTCTCACTTCGTATTCATCATGACACGACTTCCTGCTATACTGAATGTCATCAATAATAAGTTTTGCGTTAGTACATTTTATGCAGGGCTCGAAATAAATCTGGAAGGTACACCGGTCATCATGACCAGTGCATTATTAAATTTACCGGTCAAGACGGATGTTTGGCCGGTCATGTTTTGATTTTCTTATTTGCACCTATTTCAAGTGAACTTGTGCAGGTAAGATTACAGACTTCCACTTTTCTCAGTAAACACAAAATTGTGCGAAACAAAAATTTCGCTCGATTGCCGGTTATGCGTGTCGGGTAAGAGACAGTATTTGCCAGTCAAAATGAAAAAATTCGCTGGACAATGACCGATGACCGGCACTTACTCCGAGGCTGATTTCATGCGAGAAGCTGGATCATATTTCACTTGCAAGAGGCGCGTCTGGCTTGTGAAGTTGAGCACGCTTCGCTGTACTTACTGCCTGTACTGAACATACATATCTTCAATGGCGGTGGCCATTCAGGGCTTTATTTGATCGTGCTTAATTCCTTAAAATCCAGCTTCTTTCGAATGGAAAATGTCGCTGTGAGTCTTCAATATTTATATGAACTTTAATCTTTATCGTATACTGTAATCGACATTTTAAAAGTTTCACCAAATGATACTGGAGAGTGGAGGCAAACAACCTATCTATCAACCTAAATATCTAATATTAGCTCATTCAACCTATCTATCTATTTGAGAAATGTTCTAAAAATGAATGGTTACCCACGGCATTTCATAGATAATGCTATGAAAACGCCACAAAGTATACAGCAGAAGATTGAATATCAGTCGTCTGTTTGTCTACCATACATTGGTCCGGCTTCACACAAAATCGAAAGAATTTTGAGGAATGAAGCAGGTATAAAGGTATACCATTCCAGCGAAAACAAATTGTTTCGAGCTCTTTGCACACATAGCTAGGACAACGTAAATGAATCTCAGAAACCTGGTGTGTACCGCATTCCTTGTGAATGTGGTCTGGTTTACATTGGTGAAACTGGTCGAAATCTCTCAGTACGTCTTAAGGAACACAAGACGAATTGTGAGAAAGCCGAGCAAGATAAATCTGCTGTGGCTAAACATACAGTACTTGGACTTACGACCATCGTATAAAATGGGACGAAGCAACCATTTTGGCAATTGATAGTCATAAGTTCTCTCTCAAAATGAGAGAGTCAATTGAAATCGAGAAGCACAATACTATAGATCAGGAGGGAAAGCCACTAGATAGTACGTGGCGTGCCCTCTTTAATGTGCAAAATTAATTTGCAGTAATAAATTTATGTGGTGTTTCCACAAACAAAACTATTATATTTTATCGCCATGCAAACATACAAAGAACTTATAACCTATCTATCAATGGAAACTTTAAAAGGCTTATAAAAACTCATTACATTATAAGTAATTCTATGAGCGAGACTTCGTGCGTATATACAGTTTATGAAATATGTATATATATCCCTGATAAAACGTGGGGACACTTTATACCAGAATAATAAATAGTTTTGCTAAACCTTATCGGCTATCATTCCTTTGCATTGAAGGGGCGAGGGTGAATGGCAAGATAATTATATAGGAGACAATGTGCAATATTTTGGCTTCAACATACAGGTACTCATGCAGACAAAAAAGGAAATGCATACAGTTGTGGATTGTGACGATTGTCGTATAATTGTGCACTGTCGATCCCAAACAATTTTGTACGTTAACACTCCTTCCTACCTGGTGTTTAATATAAACGATGATAATTAACCTATTTTTTTAAAAAAATATCTACAGCACTATGTTTATAAACGGTTTTAGAATCAATAGAATGGACATTCAACGTCTATTTGGCTAGTGTCCAAATGTGTAACGTTTGCTATAACACTACCAAGGTCTTAATATTTAACAAGTAAATAAATGCAAAGTATATACCGTTTCCAAATGACAACAATTCAATTGCATATATGTGTTATAAGAATATTAAAAATATCTGAACCAGAGGCAGAACAGAAACGTATGCGCGAAATGAAACTGGGCCCGAACTCCGAGAATATAAAAAGAGCAAATATTTCAAAGCATACGATCGTACATTTTCATTGCTTGATTTTCTGACTTGTCTGTTGCTATATGAATCTGCAGTTTACCATGTTTGTATAATTTAAAAGCAAACAGAAACCAAATTTAGCAAGTATTTTGAAGTAATTATGATTCTCAAAGATGATTGTACAGAACAGTCTCTCCTTGCAATCGAAGTGTGAAATGCGGAAGTGGAAACATGTAATATGAGATTTTTGTAAATCTAGATTTGGATTTTTAGGATTCGGATTTTGTGGATTCGTTAAACAAATGCATGGAACGAATTGTGAGAATCGGAATTCGCCTGCTGTTTTCCCGCCATTTTTACAATAAGTTTTCTGTCCCAATATACCTTTCGATCGGGTCAAGGTATATGCTAGAAGGCCAGAAACTCAAAAGGAACGTTGAATCCTAATCAAGTTTCAGATAGAATCTGAAAAATCCATATATTGAAGTGAACTCATCAGATTCGATTCTATTTAAAATTTTGTCAAATGAAACTGAAAATCGATAATCGGATTTGAAAATTCAAATCCGGATTGCACTGAAGGAACGCTCTCTACGGCTACCCGTTTTCTAAGGGTCGCGTGACCAGCTCCGACCAGGGTCTTGTCCGCAAGAGGGAAGAGCCTGGGAACGAGGTTGACTGCATTTAATGATATTTAAGACTATCGGACGAATAATATCGGACGAATACGCAAATTCGTTCAGTTCCATTTGTTACACAGGAATTCATAGAGTTAGCTGTGTTTGAATTTGTCCAGCTTCATGTGTCCGATGTGAACGCATAAGGTGATAGTCGTGAAATTGTGAGTATGGTTCAGAATTCGTCCAGTCCCGTGTGAAGAAGGGTCGATTGGGTCATAATCATGCCGATCATGTCCAAAAGTAAATATTATAGAAACTATTAAATATTTTATTAAAATTTAATCATTAATTTTGTTCAATTTTAAGGTGGTGCTTGGAAACGTTCCAACTCGTCATTTTTATTTTCCCTACGCAACAAAGACAACCTTGCTCCATTTATTACCAACGTCAAGCAAGGTAACGAGCATGCAATCTACTGTTGGTCTGGTTGTGGACCAACCTTTGGTGGAGGTCATGATCTGTGTATTTGTAACAATCCTCAAGTTAATCAGCAATCATCCAGCAATTTTGGACGCACATATCAACTTCCCCCTGGTTATGTCTATAGCAGTGAACAAGCAAGGAACCTTCTTGCTGGTCAGTACAAATTCTTAACGACAGAAATCGAAGTTTTCAACTGACTGAAAGTGCCTTTATTTACTTACTTCAACGAAAAATAACATTACATTGATTACGACCGCTCTTAGCAAATTGTTTATCTTGAATTGTGAAGTAAGAAAGATTTAATTGAAATGGCAAGTGCTTCATCAGAAAGTGTTCCTGTTGATGAAATCAACGAACTACTCACATGTTGCATGTGTTTGGAAACTCTACAGGAACCACGAAGCTTGGCTTGCTTTCATAATTTTTGTAAAGTCTGTTTAGGTGAGTAATATTTTCTTTGTTTACATGATCTACTTGGCAAATGCATGTCTTGGTACCATAGACTAGGAATATATCCTTATTCTGTCATGGTTATAATCGTTATATTGACGACCTTGTTTACAAATTAATGTAAATTTGCCTGCCAGTATGTGCCAGGCAAATTTACACTATCACTATTTCGCGCATGTTACTTAATATAGTGCACACTGCTGATACAAATTTACACTACCGGTGTGCACTATCAGTACTATGCGCGGACATAACTAATTTTGAATAGTCTTGCGACGTATAAACAGCACAACATGATCAATGCGTGCTATTACAAAGCATTCAAAATAGCATATGTGCATGTGCGCATTTTGGCAGGCAAATCATGTGCATAACCTTTTTTGTGCAAAATCAAAACAATGTTTACTGGTCTTTTGTACATACACAAGTATATATAAATTATGGAAGTGTTCAATGCCATGTATTGTCATTACTGCCTCCTCCGCAGGCCCTTCGTTGGGCACAGTGCAGTGCAATTGCAATCTATATAGATCAGTGGCTGTGATATTGCCGGGCAATGCATGATGGTCTTCGCGCGCCCAACAAAGAATTTTTTTCTCGTTTTCCTCTCCCCCCTTTGAAAGCGACTGGGGACGAGGCAGTTGTCATTATGTGTCAGTCAATCATGATAGAATATCCCAAATTTAACCAGAGATTTATTCTGCACAGGTGGGAATTTGATGCAAACCCTAACCCAGACCATGAGACGTTTGACTCAGTCATAATCTTGTAATGGTGTATAATTTTGTATTGTGTATGTATTCAATAGTTACTTACTCAATAGATACATTCCGATTATACAAAAGAATATACTCTGCAGCATTATTCTACAATGCAAAGCACAATTAAGATAGAAGATCTTTTGGGATCTTTCAAGAACTCTTGTCTTCACAAAATGTAAACAATTGACTCTACAAAGGTGCCCCCCTGCATGGACTGCTTATTGGAATAGCAGGAAGCAAGATATACACCACACAGCAAAGTATACATTGGATTTTTTAACAAGATCTTGGGTGCAACAGCACTAGCTAGCTTACATGCATGTTTCAGTTTTGTACTCTAAATGTTACTCGGGTACACCCCTCAGAATTAACAGTATCATGACAAAATACTAATTTTCTGTTTGGCCAAAAACTGAAAACTTTGTATTTCCAGCTCCAGCCTAAATAATTTAATCACCATTTAAAGGATAGATCATGATTGACATTCACCCAGGTGTACCCCTTTTCAACATGTAAAAATCTCAGGTGTGCCTTTGCCATGGTCTACTGTATGGGATATAAAGCAACTTCATCAAAATAAAAGAAACAGTGGACTAAGTGGTATGACTTTGGAATAAAGGCTGGGGCCCTGGCCCAAATTCATAAAGGCCAACCTGTTTGAGACACACAAAGTATAAGGAAGGGTGAAAATCTTAAATTAAACTCACCCCTTCTAAGTTAAGTTAAACCCTCCCCCTTAAAGTTGGAATTGATATTATTAGAATGTTCTGGGATATTGCACAATTGCATTGCATATTATGATAATATTTCCTATGAACTGGAACTCCAATAGGATTTTAATTTTCCTATTAGAATCCACTGAATATGTCAGACAGAAAATCATTCCTATTAATTGGAATTTTTCGAATAGGTTAAAATTGACGTATTGACACATTTAAACAGAACTGCATACCGTAGATAGATAAGCTTATATGTTATGTTTTGTTATAGCTGACTGAGTCAGTGCTATGACTTTTGCTTGGATCTAATGCATTTTGTGGTGTGTATGTTCACAGAAGGTCATTATCTAGTTGTAATACACTTATCAATACAAATCCGAGGGGGAGGAAAAATGAGGAAGGGATGGAGATCTGACAAATTTTGGGTAAAATTCCATGGGTTGGGGTGACAGATACCAATAAAATATTGTATCAAAACGTCACCACCTAGGTACAGCTTAAGTTCCAAACTATGTAACATTCTCTGTGTCAAAATGAAATTTTGGACAACTAGTTAATATTGTGTGCGATTTTACTGATTTATTTAGTAGTTCAGGAAATATTATGTACATTAAGCTTGTGTTTCACACAGCACCTTTAGAAACTTAAGCTTAAAATGTTTCTCAAAGAATTAAGTTGCCCGTCATTCTTTTTAAAATTGTTGTCAGGGCTATATGTGCCAAAAAAATGTTAGCATACTAAAACAGCTTTGTCTTTGATTTAATTTCCTTTTATTAATAAAAATTATCAATGTTAATCTTGAAAATGGAATATTTATAACAAAAAATAAGGAGGATTCACAAGAACATCTCAAATTTCATATTAATAATTCTTTAATCCATGAAATTAGCGCAAGGCTAGCGCTTTTTGATGAGTAAAATCGTGTGGCATTATACAATTACTTTATGGTTTCCGTGTTTGGATGGCCTGATCCAAACACGCGGGAATGTTGCGAGAGTTAAGAAAAGCGCGCGAAACGCGATTTTGCGTGCTTTTCTTAACTCGAGCAACACTGATTCCCAAGTGTTTGGATCAGGCCATCAAAACACGGAAACCATAAAGTAATTGTTTTATAAAATAACAACTTTCCGTGTTAAAATTTCACTTTAAGAAACTTTCACTTTAAATTTCCGTGTTTGGATGGCCTGATCCAAACACGGGTTTCGACCAATCAGAGCAAGCGTTATATACATGTTATTTTATAATATAGAATCTCAGAGTAAGATGATAAAGTAGGGCGCCTTTTGGCACATTGCAGCATAATGAGTTAACATTCATTGTCAGCATTCTTTCTACATAGTTTGGGCAAAGTCATTGTCTTTAAAGCAGAACACCAAACCTATCCATCACGAATTTCAAAATCAATATTATTCCAGGGATGGGAACATTTGACCAAAATTAAAACTTTTTAATTTTGGTCAAATGTTCCCATCCCTGGAATAATATTGATTTTTAAATTCCTGATGGATGTTGTGGGTGTTCAAGGCAAATCTCCACCGTTTTTCCGTAACTGCATGCCTTCCCAGTGATTAACATTAATAGGTGCATATAAGCAGAAGAGTTTAAAAGCCTGGTTTACACTAGCAATTCTGTCGGCGATATTTCTCCTCCAGGCAAATGCGGTCGAAGGAATGACATGCAAAAGACTTCACTTAGAATTGTTTACTTCTGAAAAGCGACTCTATACTTTTGTGTGCGAGTTCACTCATTTGCATCCGTCAGAAAAACAAAATCGCCGACAAAATTGCTAGTGTGAACCAGGCTTCAAAATCATCTGTACATCTTTAGTATAGCAATACAAAATAAGTGAAAGACATAAAACTATGGAAGAATATAAAGACACAAAATAAGATGGTACTATCTACTATGAAAGTGTGCTTTGTTTGTGCCACATTAACATTATAAAACAGTTAAGAAGTCTATTATGAATCTAACCGCAAGTCTGCTAGTTTTTCTTAGCCAATATTTTTGATGTTTTCAAATTAAGCCAAAACCAACCAGCGGGTTATTTTGACTAAACATTTTCCGTTTATGAACTTATGACATGGCCATACAGTAGGTCTAAATAACCACCTGCTGATTGGTTTTGGCTTAGTTTGAAAACATTAAAAAAATATGCAAGTGTGAAGTGGCCTCGGTTTGCCTGTTCGAGCTGTAAAAGGTAAGTTATTTCATTAATATTATATTTAATTTGTTACTTAATTTCTACTCCACAACATCTGGTTCATTATTTTAAGTGTCCGCACATTGTTGTTTAGGAAAGTATGTCGAACGTCTTCGTGGTGCTGACAAGAAGGTGGAGATCTTCCCATGTCCTACATGTCGCTCAGAGTTTACTCTCAAATCAAACCAAGATGTTGCTGAACTGCCAAGCAATTATTTCATCAAGAATATGCTGGAAATTATGGCGATTCAACAAAAAGCAAAAACATCTACTGCATGTTCCCGCTGCCAAGATCCTGCCATTAATCACTGCGCATCATGCGAAATATTTATGTGTAAGAAATGTTCACAATGGCATGATACCTGGCCTGCCAACAAAAATCATAATGCCCTGTCTGTACAGGAACTGGGCAATCCTGAAAGTCAAGTGAAAATGAGAAGAAAGCTTTGCTGCATGAAACACGAAGACGAAGTACTGAAATATTATTGTGAAACATGCAAGGAACTTAGCTGTATAGACTGTGTGGTTTTAAATCATAAGAAAACAAACCATTCGTGTGTGGCAGTGCGTGAGATCGCACAGAAACAAAGAGAAGCATTGCAATCAAGCTGCACAACACTTGATGAGAAATTATCTGAAGGAAAGGAAGCGTTGAACAATATTTGTGAGGTGATGAAGTCTCTTGAAAAGAATGCTAAAACTGCTAAAGATCAAATCAAAGAACAAAAGGAAAATATCTTGAAGATTGTGGCAGAAAAACTTGATGAGAGAGCAGAGAAAATGAACGAGGAAGTGGACAAGGTTTATGGTGAATTACACAGTAAACTGAGCAAACAACATGATGAAATGAAAGATTATCTTGATAAAGTCAAAGCTTCAGTGTCCTTGCCAAAAAATCTCTTAAAGAGAGGAAGTATCGAAGAAATTATCTCATCGCAGAAATTGATTGATGAGAAAATCGAGAAGTTGAGCAATCAGCAACCGGAGTATCTGGCCGCAGTGAATGATGGTGGTATTCAGTATGTGCCGGACGACATTGGTAATATCAATGTTGATGAAATTGTTGATAAGTTGGGATATGTGGAAGGTATGTACAATTTACGGTATATTACCGTCATTACATTACATATTGGTTCGGATTCGACTACTGCTACTCACTAGGAAGATCAACTAATCAGATGTGTTTGGTATATTCTATTAACCAATCGGATACGTAGGCTAGTAAGACAGTGAAAAGTAGTTTAGCGGTAACGGAAGTCAAATCTGAACCTCTATAATATTATCATGAGTACATAAGTTATTTTCTTTTTAAGAAAGGAAAATTAAATGCGGTTCCACCAGGAATTTTTTTATGTCGATTTTCAGACCGGATCTACAGTAACTTAAAAATGATAGGAATTGTGCAGCTAATTAAATTTATATTAGTAATTTACCCATAATTGTCCAACACTTCGCTCGTTAGGAGTAATATCGTCTGACGTTGCACGGACTAAGGTACTATGTGAACATACATATGATTGGAGCATTAGTGTGAAAAGAAGTGAAAATCAAGAAGGGCGCTAGAGCATTGTGGCATAGCGGATTGACAATATACATTATTATATACCAATAGC